TGATGCCTTGATTTTATTTTTCAGGCCTCTTAGCAGGATGTTTTACACTATGTTGTGTAGCAACATTGACACCAGTATTTTTAGACCTAATTATACCTTTGGAAGAGTCTCGAGCAAAAATGTTTATCATCAAAATCAAGTTTATCGCCGATCCAAACAAATACTACTTCGAGTATTACTTTGCAAGTTTGACGCTCATGATTATCGCTACCTTCACGATTTTAACTATTTTTTTCAGTTTTTTGAACATTTTAAATTCAGTTGTTGGACAACTTCATATTGTAAAGTAGGACATGAATGATTTGCAACAACATTTACTGTTCGTCGGACAACTATTTTTTCTAACTCTTGAATAATGTTATAAAAATCTTTTATAGATACCGAATACACTTGGCCTCGACGGAATTGGCGAATAAAGATTTGGAAGCGTACAATACGATTACTTCTGCTATTAAATTACATCATCATTGTTTAGAGTTGAGTATGCATATGCTGTAAATGTAAGCGTGTAATTCAAATTCCTTCAACCCTTATAAAAACTAACCTTCAGTAAAATGTGCCTTTGTGTGACGACATTCACCAAATACGGACTATATGTTGGTCTTGTGGTCTACATATAGAGATACCTAGTTCGACATATAATGCATTTGTTGATTTTTCGTAAATAATTGGTCTATCACATCTAAATTTAACCAATATTTGCTTCAAACGTAATGACTTTATAAGCTATACAGCTAATATTATTTAAAAAATGCACTGATAATTTTTCCGCAATTTTTGCTCTATCGACCAGTAAGTTTGCATCATGGTCTGGTAGACATAAGAAAAATGAGGTAATAAGGGAGATGAGGTACATATTTTCAAGGCTGTGGCGCTGTGTGCCTTCGATATTTAAGCTGAAATAATTTTACTCGATAAGTTGGTAATAATTATTTTTTTAAATTAGCAGAAAATAAAAAAATGATTATAGTTTTTAATGTCTAGATTTGAGACAAGTAATAAGACTTATTTATCCGACGAAAACTACTATTCTAATTTGATGAAAAGTGAGCGGAAAAATTTTGAGCCCGTGGGTACACTTTGCGCCCAGTAAATCACTTTGGGCCCTAAAGCTTTTGAAAAGTTTTTTGGTCCCGGAGGGTGCCACTATTGTTCATACGCGTATCAGCTAAAATACTAATTAATTCAATTTAAAAAAATTTTCCTACTATCTTTTCCTGTTTTTGGCTTTGTTTATAAAAATATAAAGTCATCCAGCACTTTGATCTCGAGACAGCTCTGCACACGGGGCGAACGCAATCAGACTGTTCCCAGCTGTTCATTATAAATTATTTTATTTTACCTAAAAAAAAAATAAATTACATTTGTCAAGGTCTTGGATTCTTCCATTTTTCTAGAAATGTTATATAGCTTGACCTCTAATATCACACATGCAAATTGAAGCGCAATTAAAATATGCAGGAATATACTTTTAACAATAGTTTCGTAACTATTTATATTTTTAGTANATTGTTTTATTCTGTCAGAAAAATTTTTTGCATAAATATAACGAACCCCTAAAATTATTTTAAAAATCTGAACTTTTTTTTTTATTAAATACAAAAAACCAGTAACAGTACCAAATAACAACGGAACTGTCGTCCAACCGGTACTTTTTAAATGGCCATTCTTGTAATATTTGCATAATCTTTGGTAAACACAAGTATGAATCATTTCGATTTTTTAGCTATAGAATGGTACATTTAGAGTAGGTCAAACGATTAAAAGTTTGAAAAACAAATCATTGATTTTAAACATAATAAAAAGACTTATAGACACCTTTGAAGAAACGTTTAACCTGTTGTTTGCCATAACGATCACCTTTCTGTTAGTGTTTCTCAGCATCATGCCGATCTGTGTAAGTTCTAACAATTTTTGTACTCTATAAAATTATGTATAGGTACAACACTTTATAGTTATTTTTTGACATTGTAGATCCTCGAAAGTAACAGCTTTTTTGAATTAATCAGACAAGGTGCGTTTTTAGTGGCCGTAGCAGCCGCTTTATTTGCAATAAATTGGCCAGGACAACTCCTCGAAGACGAAAGCAATGATTTGTTTAGATCACTGTAACCATATTTTATATTCTGCCGTTAAAAATCTTTCTAGACGTAAATTATTCCAGGTACTTTATCCAAACGTTAATTTTCTCAGTTACATGGGCGAATGGTATCGATTATCAAAAAAATCCACAACTCTACTACTAATTATGATGTATCGATGCATGAAGCCTTCCGTCTTTACTGCAGGGAAATTATGCTTTTTGAACTACATTACTTATGGAATGGCAAGTATAACCATGACATATACATTCATGTAATTTAACGTTTACTACCTCTAGTAATTTCTCATATATTTGTTCATTTTTTCGTTTCCAGATAATGAAAACAGCTTTCTCTTACATGACTTTTTTACGTTCTGTAAGGCAGTAATTCGATATCATATATTATGCAATCGTAATTTAATCATATATATTTCGCAATTTTACAGTTTTGCATGTAAGACAAGACTGTATATTAAAAAAAAAAAAAATATATTGTAAAATACTTTACAGTACTATATTTTATTTAGGAATACATTTTGATTTATATTAATCGGTTAGTACTGAATTTCGTAAAAAATTATGAATATATTTGTCATTACAGTAAAAAACTACCATTTAACAAAAATAAAAGTTCAAGTAAGTTTGACGTAATAATATTCGAATTGTTTATTAATCTTTGTATTTTTTTGTAAGTGGCTATAAGAATTACATTCTTGAAATAAAAATGAAGTTACATAGCCTTGAAAAGTAACGAAGGTCAATAATATCTGATATAATAGTCAAATTTCCTATTCATTTCGGCGCAGCATATTATTTGTATATTGGACTCGCACTCATTTATCTCAAATCACTTATTTATTTAGCAAGTTTATACGCCAAACTAGATTACTCATGCATACCAACGTTCATCACAGTTAAAAAATTATTTGTTTACGATAACCTTTGGATAATATTATGACACATCTTTCACGCGACATCATTTGCATGAAACCTATGTAAGGTATCTTTTTACATATAATATAATAATATCAGCGGAACCGGCTGTGTCCGTTGTCACCTCACTGTTTTTTTAAGATTTTATGTACTAATGGGATATTATGTATGGTACACAACACTAAGAGCAGTCCGCGGATAATTGGAGTTTTTTACCTTATGCATAACGCTGATTTCATTTAATCTCTTATAACATTATTTATTAAATAACTAGCTATTTCATAGGAAAGTAAGAGTTGTTGCACGTTGTTTTGATATTTTAAATTATAAATTACACTTGATAATATTGATAGAGAATTCATGGTGGAGAACACGAAAAATCAGATATGAGATCAATGAGGTGCAATTTGATTTTTCATTATTTTGCTTCATATTAAAATTTTTAAAATTCATAATGTGTCCCAACTCTGATTTGTCATATGAGTATGCCCTGAAACAGTTGATTGTTGTAAAAAAAATAAATTATCTAGCGAAAATTAATTTAATCAAAGAAAAATATTATGCCTTGGCTTTTTTACTCATTACATGGTGTTATTCGTAACATAAAATTTTTCAGCACAATTTTTCGAAAAAATAAGAGCTGCCAGACATGATTGAATCTACACAGGGTTTTCGGCTTTGCCTCGGGGTTTCAAATGCCTGTGATCTGCGAAACTTTCTTCATTTGTCCTCCCTATAGATGAGTGATGTACTTTTGAGACAAGTAATAAGACTTATTATTCATAATTGTCTATCACAAGTTATTATTAAAACTTTTTAATCCTTATTATTAGTTACTTTTTTTTTTTGTTCACGAGTTTGAACGATACAATCGTGCCTCAAAGATTTTTATTTTTTTTATTATTTTTTTCCATCTGATATAAAATATAAGACAACAAGAATGATCTACTATTAACAATTATTAATAGCTAATACTTTTGATAAATCTTAAAAGTCAAGTATTAAATAGTGATAATTAACCATAGCAGTTCTTTCTAGTTACTACTTTTTTCGATGTTTATATAATGACATGACGAAAAAAAATGTGATAAAAAATAATCACTAGTAACAACACTCACTAAACTTTATTATAGTCTCAAATCTGGACTTTCTTAAATTTTATTATTAGTTATTATTTTTCTTTCGNAAAAAAAAAAAAAAAAAAAACTCGCAGAAAAACTTCTATTAACTCTCAATTTGAAGTAGTAAAAATTTCAACAAGATTTTCACTGGCGAAATAGTGAAAAATTAGAATTGTTCATTCGCACCCAATCGTTATAAATTTCAGTTTTAATTATTTATCAGCAATGCAATGAACGATCTTGATCCAAAAGAAGATAATTGTACAACCTATACACATTATTTCAAATGGTAGAAACAATAAGTTAATCAATTAATTTAAATATAGTGAAACGTTAACTTGGTAGAAATAGTGAATATTCACTAGTTCAAATACGTTATGAGTACACAACTTTGAAATAGTGAAATCGACTGTTAAGTAGTGTACATGCACCATTTAAAAAAAAGTTGTACCCTTTTCACTATTTGAAATTTATGAGCAGAGATTCAAAATTCACCAAGAAACTACCATTACAGGTCTATTATTATCGTAATGCTTTTTGAAATTTTTCATAAATCCCATTTAAACTAATATGGGGTTTGAAAAATGACAATAGAGCCGGGCCCAAAAGTTTCCCACTATTTTGAACCCTATACCTATCAAATATAATATAACGAACAAATTCCGAACGTTGAAATTCGAAAATCTTATTGCACGCGTCAAAATATCGGGATTTTTTGTGCTATGACCTATGTGAGAAATGTATGTGTAATAATTTATCAGCTATTTCCGTCACTGGTATAAATAATTTAAATACTTATTTCTCACTTTCACACTCCTATTTATTCATAAACTATTTAAATATTTAACGATTCACACGTTTATATATACCTACAGTAGAGGTCTCTGAGAGAAAAAAAATTCTATTTCTGGAATATTGCAATCACATAATTATATATTATCCGAAACGTTTAAGACAACGGATCTCTCATACATAATTGCCAGAAAAACCCTTTGAAAGTTTGAGACAAACTTAATAATTTACAATAATAATCAGAGTTGAAAAAAGAGTTGAGTAGGTTTATTTACAATAAATTATGTTCATAAAAAAAAAAAAAAAAAAAAATTCATAACAGAACGATCGTCCGCAGTGACCAGACCAAAGAAGACATCGATTTATTATACATACACAGGATTATATAAAATATCCCTCAGCCACAAATCAACATGAAAAAAAGCCGCTGCATCGTATTGTTGTTAAAATGTTACAATGAAAGAAAAAAAAAAAAAAACCAAGACATGGATCATTAAATTGTCCCAGATGCGCAATAACCAGCGATTAAAATTCTTCTAAAAATCAACTAGTACTTGCTAAAAACACCATATTCGTGACTTTCCGCGTAAAACAGATATAATATATCTCATTACCATAAAACTCATGAAAACTCGCTCGATGAAAACACTTTATTTCCTCAAAGCCGCGAAACCGGGCTTGGACACGTTGCTGGTCGAGGAGACGCCGCTGCCGTTGAAACGACCCGACGGTGGCTTGATGAACGACGCCCGCCCCGCACCGTTGCTCGACGCACTGGACGCGCCAGCGGTCACTGACAAGGTTCGACGTCCCAGCCGCGGGTTGCCCACTTGGCTCTTGTTTTCCCGCGGAAGCCCCACACGGTCCGCCAACTGCACCGGACTGGCCAACCGGGCAAGTTTGCTGGCGACCGGCACCTTCGCACCCGTGGCCCTCGAACCCTGGACTGAAATTTCATTCACCGCTACACGCCTGGGTACAATAAAAAAAAAAAAAAAAGAATCCCATCCGTTCTACAAAAATCTCACCCATTCCCGGGGTCCCTGGGGCCTCCGTATGATCCTTGACGCGTCTCCCGAGAGGCGGAAGCGGTGGGGCCATCGTCTTGCCGGGAACTGTCCTCCGCTGAGCCAAGGACGCGCGCGGCCATAAGCCCGGAGTGGAGCTCGGTCCTCTCGATACTCCGGTGCTCGGGATACGTACCGTTGGTCTGGGGATCGAGCGCTGCTGCGGCTTTTTGGGCAAGAGACTACTCGCCAGCCCCGACGAAGAGCTGCTCGGAATACCCCGGCCGCTGGTGAAACTGTCACTGCTCGACGGTGCAGGGCTGATGCAGTTGTTGCCCGTCAACGAGCAACTGCTCCTGGTCCGGTTGAACAGCTCGTCTGCCCGGCGGGGGGGAAGATGGAAAAGCTACGTGACTTTGGATATGACAATATGTGTGGTGGAAATATTGGGCGCACCTTGGCCGAAGGTCGAGTTGGCGGGTATCTTGTCCTTGAGGAGCTCGACGGCGCTGCCCAGGATCCCGTGGGCCTTGAGCACGCAGTCGGCGAGATCGGCGTCCCCGTCGTTGCTCTGCACCGTCACCTGGCCAAACGAGTCCTCGGCGAGCCGTCGCATGGGCGAGTTCGAGACGCGGTTCACCTGCGGCCTCGGCTCCTCCGCGACCTCCTCGCCACCTGCGCTGGTCTGCAGCTCGTACGTGCTCTGGCGCTGGAGCCTCGGCTGATGCACCTCCCTTGCGCACTCGGCACCCATGCTCTGTCTCCTCCTCCTTGCGTGGGCCTCGCTCGGGTTCTGAAGCATTATTGTCACATTTTGGCCTTGTCGACTTGTGCGCGAGCAAACTATACTTCAATGATGCAGTTATTGGCTTCTTTAAATTCAAGCGAGATGTATAAACAACAATGGTGTAGTTTTCATCTCCGGGGCTGTATATTTACAATGTAGCCGCGGTGCGATGGCGCTTATGTGGCGAATCCTATATTTTTCCTGTCCGAGGGCACATACCGAGTGAAAAAAAATAATGAAAATTACACTGTTCCATAGAATGGCAATTGCCGTCTAGGGACTTTTTACTTGATTGGCCAACCTAATTTTTATACCAATATTCCGGACAGTAATTTCTATCGTACAAACAGTAAAAATCACACTGTACTGACAACAAAAATAACTGTTCTAAGCATTAAAAATTATTGTTTAAATTGTAAAAAGTCTCTAGAGACAACCGAACACTACCAGATGACCATTCTAGCACAGTAATTTTTACCATTTTTTTTCTCTCAATTCACCAGCCTCTCAAAAACTCCCAGGGTAGGAAAAAAAAAAAAAAAAAAGAAAGAAAACAGCATGCTCTTGCCGTATCGTTAACCCCGGGCTGCTTGTAAAAATCGGTGTTGCTTCGAAGGAGGCCACCTCCTTTGGCGTCGTTGTCGGGGTTCTGGAGGGTCGAGATGCTCTGGCGCCTGTGACGAGCGGCTCCACCCACGGCGGCCACCTTGAACTCGTTCGTGTCAACCTCGCCCTTGGCGTCGATGACCTTGACCACCCGGTAGAGCACGTCCTGGATCGCTTGCATCGACTCCTTGGACATGTCGGGCAGGAGGCTGCTGCCCGTCTCCTCCACCACTTGGTTCTGGTGGCTGCTGTCCTGCGTACAATTACGTCGTCTCATTTGTGTCTCTCTCGATTCGTACCGAGACAAGCGTACACCCCGGCTGCTGACCACTAGATGTATGATTAATAATCACCTGATATTTTGGCGTGGTGTTCACCTAATATTCACCATTAATTTTCCCATGATCACCACCCGATATGGATATAACCAGTAGGTGATTGTATCATGTGGATATCGAGTAAACTCTGTTCAGTAAAAGCTTCGATCAAAGCTCGTCCGATACTCACCTGATTATATCACCAATTGTGAAAAACTGGTGTATCATATGCAAAAATGTCAGGCGATTATATCAGCAGGGAGTGTACAATTATTGTGGACTCAACTGCCATGGGCCCGGTTCCCGTGATGCTCCAGAAGGAGCCGGTGTTCGGGTCGACGTTGTCCTGGCAGGCGCAGCTCACATCGCTCATGTCCAGGACGGCGGCCATCCTCGAGGAGCCGCACTCCACGGTGATCTTGACGCTCCCGGCGGGCTCCTCACCACCGGCCGGCTCCTCTGCTCCCGAGCGATCGACCTTCTTCTTCAACTCCCGCAGTTTGAATCCCACTGCCTGCAGCAGGACGATTATGGTCGGCAGGTCGGGCTTCCTAGGCACCTACGCGTGTACACGGAAGTTGTTCGATCAACGGTAGTTTTTTTTAATTGTGTACACATACTTACATATACATCACCGCGCTTTTTGGATTATGTGATTTTACTCACTCATTTGTTTTCGACGTACACTTACTTAATTGTTTTTGTCTGTCGTTAGTTAATTTTGTGCCATTGGAATAAAGTTATATATATATATATATCATCACATTTTTGACGAATGTACAATTGGCTTGGAAAAGAAAGAAAAACACTTACATCTTCTCTCGTGTTTCCGTATTGCCACTTGAGGGCCCAGTGATGGAAGTACATGCGAAGGGCCGAGAGTTTGGCTAGCGAGAGCTGCGACGACGATCTCTTCATCGTGTCGTGAGTTAATTATTTGTGGATTTGGCAAAAAAAAAATCCAACTTTAATGTATTTCACAAAAACACTCGTTTTTCCTCAAAAAGAACAACGCACGTGCAATATTATATATATATAATAATAATTTTACACGCTTATAAACTATACTTTTTTTTTTTTTTATATATATATCCAAGTGTTTTTGACCTTTGTTGAGGTATTAACACTATTAACTATAATGTAATGTAAAATGTTCTTCATTTGATATGATACAACTCTCGTGGTGTAGCTTCAATGTAACAATATGTGTACCTACTTGCGTTTGCGTCCCTTCAAAGTTTCGCCCCACTCCCCCTCCTCTGGTATACGTTTTTGACTTTCGATTATCTTATTGTTGATGTTTACGTTTTGTAAGTACACGTAAGTAGACTAGCTCCTGTTTTCGGTAGAGTAAACGCTTGAATAAGTGTACATATATGGATCATTCCATGAAGCCTATGTTTGAAAAATTCGGATTTAATTGTTTCTATTTATAATTACGTTATGGTTAACTTTTTTTTAAAAAAACACTATTTTTCCCACATACGTTTTTAAAAATCAGTTTGCACAACTTTTTGTTTTGCGTGTCCGCAAGATGAAAAAAAACGGACCAAAAAATTTTATTACCGCAATGCAAGGCATTAACAACTTACGGCCAGGGCTGCAATTTAAAAATACTTATTGCTCCCTTGCCAAAGTAATAATAATGACTTTCATAGAAGGATCCTATATATTTTTCTTTACATACATTTTATTTAATGCATATAGTTATGATGTGAAAAAGTACGTGCGAATAAAGCAAGTAATTGATAGACTGTTTTTTTTTGTTGCAATATTCTATATTCAGGTATAGAATTAACTCTAGATATAGATTAGGAGCCAATTATTGCTTTTTAAATCAAAAGAAAAAAGAAAAAGAAAAATGTAGTATGTAAATTTTGTCATTAAATGGTAATTATGTATGAATGTGAATTACTGTAATTTTCAACTATATTTATTTGATACAATTTTGTTGCATTTGTTTGAATGAAGAGTTCAGCCGGCAGTTTTTTTTTTTTCATCACGGTCGTCAGCCCAATTGTAGAAATATATTATCAATAATCTTGGATGAGTATATATTGTAGATAAAGATTTTAGATATGAGCAGTGTATGGAAAGATCATTTCCCCCCTTTATTAAATCTTAAAACTGCCGCAACTTTGGTTTCAGGTATAAGTAAATTGTCGTAAAAAAATTAACTGGCTAAGTTGTGGCTGGTTTTGGGTCCATTTTTTTAAAGGTCGATTTTCGTGTGGAAGATAAATTCTAATTCTGCCGCAAATTTGCATTTGTTGAAAACAACTTTTTATTCTATTCGTCGGTTTAGGTTGGGGCTGGTTTAAAAAATCGACCACATTGCACTACTTTAGTTACCACATAACTCTTTACCAAAATAAAATATAGCAAAAATATTCCGGATCTCTTTAAGTTGAGCAATTTCTAACTACTGGTGATTGTTGCGGCTGGTTTAGATTTTTAACCTTTCTCAGGCCTCAGCCCTTGGTCTGTTAGGATCCTTAGATCCTTAACTGCTGGAGCCTATGGAACCAACGGAACGCACCTCCCGAAAGTGCTTCCAACGCTAAGCTGAACAAACCTACATTAGTACCAATAATAACAATAGCGACTACATTAATAACCAATAGCGATTTTGGTACTTGAGCCAATTTCTCACGCCACTTATTTACTTATTTCTAAGTGGATTCAGTGTCAATTAAAACCTCTCTTGACATGGCGACGGATACTGCTGGCAAAGTAATTCAACATGATTTTTACTACTATTTGTCGGACAAAAGATTTTTGTATTTGTCACGACATTTTTGACGTTAATTATTGAGACACAAGTTAAATTATTATTTTTTCGCCAACGTTGCAGTGAAGGGTGTACTTATTCAGATTTACTGCAATTTAAATTAGCCACAAAAAACTTTGTATAAATAATTTACACTTGTCTTTCTGTGCCAACAAATCGTGCAAACAATTCTTGCTACATTGCGATGAAACTAAAGATTTTTTACCCTAAAATATTTAAGTATACCGATAGTCAATCTTAAAGTTAATCCACTATTTTATTCAGGTTATCTCGTGTAAGGCTGCTGTCGCCTGGCAAGCAAAGCAGCCTCTGTCCCTGGAAACAATTGAAGTTGCTCCACCAAAAGCTCATGAAGTCAGAATAAAGATTCTTTCTTTTGCCTTGTGCCATACTGATGTCTATACCCTTAGTGGTTCGGATCCCGAAGGAAATTTTCCATGCGTATTGGGACACGAGGGTGCTGGTGTGGTTGAAAGCATTGGTCCTGAAGTCACAGAGTTTAAGCCAGGTGAGAGCAGGTTTTTTAATTGGAGTCACATGATTAACGATCTGATTTCATTAATATTCCGTGACAGGATGTAATAGGCATGAATTACTATTTGAACTGTTAATACTTATGTTTGACAATTTAGAATGTAATAAACAATTGTTTAATGAAACTCTATTGATACCTGTGTACAAAAACAGGGTTTACATAATTTCTATTCTCTGCAGGTGATCATGTCGTTCCCTTATATATTCCACAATGTGGTGATTGCAAATTTTGTAAATCTCCCAAAACCAATCTTTGCAGTAAGATACGAACGACTCAAGGAAAAGGTGAAATGCCTGATGGTACTTCACGTTTTACCTGCAACGGTATAAAGCTTTATCACTTCATGGGCTGCTCTGTATTTTCTGAATACACTGTTGTTGCTGATATATCTCTTGCAAAGGTACTGTAACTTTTAACCAGCAAATCTTAAAAAAATAAATCAAGTATGAAAGTAACTCTTTAACCTTATGTTTTTTACTACTCATAGGTAAATCCAGCTGCTCCTTTTGATAAAATTTGTTTGTTGGGTTGTGGTGTGTCAACTGGATATGGAGCTGCTTTAAATACTGCTAAAGTAGAACCTGGAAGTAGTTGTGCTATCTGGGGATTGGGAGCTGTTGGCTTGGCTGTTGCTTTTGGATGTAAAACTGCCGGGGCCTCCCGCATTATCGGCATAGACGTGAATACATCCAAGTTTGAAAAAGGTGTGAACAAACGTTTTTGTGATTTGCATATCATTAACGTATGTTTTATACACATATATTTTATTATTATTTTTTTTAGCTAAGGAGTTTGGATGCACTGAGTTCATCAACCCAAAGGATTATGATGTACCAATCCAGGAAAAATTGATTGAATTGACTGATGGTGGTCTCGATTATACTTTCGAATGCGTAGGAAAAGTGCAAACAATGGTATGTTTGTTACAGATAAATTGGTGATTGGTTAAAAAATTATTAATCCAAATGTTTTATTTAGCGAGCGGCGCTGGAATCATGTCACAAAGGATGGGGTACATCTGTTATTGTCGGTGTTGCTGCTGCAGGTCAAGAAATCAGCACACGCCCATTCCAATTGGTCACTGGTCGCGTGTGGAAAGGAACTGCTTTTGGAGGATGGAAGTCCAAAGACAGCGTTCCTAAGCTAGTTGATGATTACATGAACAAGAAATTGATGTTGGATAATTACGTTACGCACACTTTATCTTTCGATAAAATCAATGAAGGTCTTGAACTTTTAAACTCCGGAAACTGGTAAGTTGATACTTTTATCAAACTTGAAGTATAAATCAGGCTATTCATTCTCATTTATGCACCAATAAATATCTTCTATTTTCAGTTTGAGAGTAGTTTTGAATTTTTAAGTGACTGGTCAACAAATATTTTTATACTTGATAGTCTCTACTGTTTTATCTCATCAAAGATTGAATTCAACAAATGAAATATATGTCTTGCATGATGAAGCTGTTTTATAATTATATAACGATTGTTATGAAATACATTGATATAAGTTTTGATAACTTTTTATCTTGTGAGAACTCACTCATGTCGATATTCAGTAAAATATAAAAAAAACATGAATAAACAAGAAAATATATATTTTCTACAACGAGTTTTGTTTGTTTTTTCAATAAGAATCCTTACAGACACAAGGTCATTTTGTACATTCGGGTGCAGATAATCATAAAATAACCCCTCTGGCCTATTACATTACAACGCCACACACCAATGACATCATGCAAACTTACCTAACAAAATGTAGATGTGACCATGCTTATTTAGTTCGGTTCACCATCAATGCGCTTTTGTGGCCCAATCGGTAAACTACTCTTATCAATGCGTTGTTTATTTCCTATCGATACCGTTATCGGAGGTCTACTGGGTAAGGTAATCGATATATGCTATCGTTGGTCCATCGGTATGACCATCAAAATCTTATCGGTGGTCTATCGGTACATGGCTATATATCGATAACCTTAATTGACAGTCCATCGGTATGGTTATCGGTAGCCATACCGATAGCACATCAAACGCCATACCAATAAACCACCTATATAGTGTATCGACAACCTTACCGATGCATTATGACTATGATATGCGATTAATGTATCATCGATGTCTTGCCGATCCAGCATTAGTTGATTAAGCAAGGTTATTGGGTCTTGGATGTATATATACACCACTTGTATAGTATCAAACTAAAACTGACTTTTAATCAATCAATCAATCAGTTATCTATAAAACTACCATCCATATATTAACAAAAATCTGTGGAGCAACAACTAAAGACGTTAAGTACAATTTGCTCATATCTAAATCAAGTATAAATTTTACCCTAAGTTTTAAAGGAAACCGTTACTTCAAACAGCGTTTTTTTCCGTGGATCTTCAGCGCCATAACTTCAGCGAAAAATTAAAAAAAAAAAATTTATGGGATATGTTGTTTAAAAACGATAAAAATTTTGTAGGTAATGATCTTACTGGGGTAAGTGTACCTATCTCCGTGGCACGTACTGAAAATTCCAACTTAAATGCACCATAAAAAATGGTATACTAAAATTTTTTGGAATATTTTTTTTTTAAATCTTACATAATCTCTTACGGAATATTAAAAAAAATTTTATGAAGCTAAAACTGCAGTAGAATATTTTTAAAACGAATAAAAACGGTATGCTGGTATTACCGTGGTTGTGTACCTATTACCGTGTACGTATTACCGCGGATGTCCCAATCACCGTGTCCGTATTACCGTGGGTGAAGAAAGTTGTATTTGCGGAAAATAAAAAAAAATGCAAATTTCACCTACATTTTCTACATGACTTATTTATTGTTTTAAAAAAATATTACTTTTTTTTGTACTTGCTTATTCATTTAGTAGGAATCTTATACATTTTTGAGCACTCAGCAATAGATTTTCCAGAATAGATACTTTTCAAAGCTAATTTTAATGTCTCTGGAAAGTAACACTTTTTGTTTTTCTTTATTTCGATCGATTTCTTGCCTTTCTTGCCTTTCTTGCCTTTTTTAGTTTTCTTCATCTTGGTTACGTTAGATCGACGTGCTTACCTACTAATTGTTTACCCCTATCAAAAACTTCAATGCTGAATCAATGCTGAATCAACGTTGATTTTAGCGATTAATCAACGCTGAACCAACGTTGAATCAACGTTGATTCCATAGATGACGGAACACTGAAATCAGTCGTAATTTACATTGTTGATTCAACAATGATTCAACATTGAATCAGCGTTGAATCAGCGTTGATTTAAACGTTAATTTAATAATAGAAAAATATAATGCGTATTCAATACAGTTTAACATCAAATAACTGAACCCCCCTGTTTTGGTGTTACCATACGGATAGTACCACCATAAATGTCAATATATCTGCTCCAAATGTTATTATACTACTTTGTAATTTTTTAAAACGTTAATTTTTTAAACGTTAAAATTAAATTCATTTATATGTTGTATATATTGTATTAAACGCTGATTCAACGTTGAATCAGTGTTGAATCAACAATGTAAATTACGACTGATTTCAGTGTTCCGCCATTCATGGAATCAACGTTGAATCAACGTTGATTCAACGTTGGTTCAGCGTTGATTCAACGCTAAAATCAACGTTGATTCAGCATTGAAGTTTTTGATAGGGACGTGTTAACTGTCGTGCGATCTGTAAGTATAGGGTTATGTTTACGTACGCTCACCGCGCAAATACGTACACAATCAGTTAATGAGCGCGTTGTACCGAATACCGTAGAAAATAATTATTTACTCAAAATATACACAAATATTTCTGTTTGAATTGCATCTACATTAACGACATTTTAGATTATTAAAATTGAAAAATTATTTTATATGAAACATTTCTTATTTTGAGCAAGTAATCATCAGTTTTTCAAAATCCACGGTAATAGGGCAGAGCACGGAGATAGGTACACTTACCCCTATTATACACTAAAAAAACAAATGAACAAAGACTGCGTCAAAGCTTCGGAGTAAGGGCGAAACCTCGGTGTAACTTGAATGTACTTTATCAAAGTTTTTGTTCATACATGAAAAGTAAAAATAAAAATAAAACATACGTATTTAATATTACTTGATCACGTAGTAAATTTTATAAGTATTTTTACCTGTTGTACATATCTACCAACAATATTTAGGTAGTAACTAGTTATAGCTATCAATGATCATCATAGAAATTATTAATAAACTTTC